AGGGGTCCAGGATTATCTTCTGTGTCTGTGTTAATTGGTTTCCCTTTTCTTTGTTGAAGAGGGTCTGTGCAGTCTTTCTGCCTAGTCCACCATCTTACTGGAACTCCACATCATCTGATTTCTTGACTGCTGCTTCCATTGGTGTTGCTTATAAATTATTTAATACATTTGGGAATAAGATGCTCATGTACCTAATTTAAAAAGGAGAGGATTAAATAGTTCACATTCATGTACGATATTTTCTATGAGGCAATTTTATTATATTTTAAAAAGTTATTCTTCATTCCTAATTTGCTGTTTTTATATCATAACTATGTGTTGAATTTTATTTACCTCCTTTTTTGAGTTTTACTATGTATGTAAATATTCCTAAACAACAACAACAACAAAAACTCACTGCTGTCAAGTTGATTAGACTCATAGCGACCTCTCCTTGGTTTTCTTGGCAGTATCTCTATGGAAGTAGATTGTCCAACCTTCCTTCCGAGGAGTTGCTGGGGCTTTGAACCACCAGCCTTCTGGTTAGCAGTCAAATACCTTAGGCACTACTCCACCAGAACTCATATTTCTTAGTTTTCTTTGGTTTTGAACTTTCTAACAAGCATATAATTCTAAATGACTTCAGAGATTTACTTCATTCAGCATTACATTCATTATAGTCATAGTGTATATGGCTCTATTTCACTTATTATTACCAGTGAATGATATTTAATCATGATACTATGCTGTAACACATCTGGTACCAATAAGAAGGTACCAGATATATATGTTACAGCATACTATCATGATGCTATTGTGATACTATGCTGTAACATATTTATCTGGTACCTTCTTATTGGTCATATGGTTTGTTTCCAGTATGTTGTTATTATAAACAGCACTTCCGTGAACATTCTTGTGTGTATCTCTTGGTAAATATGTGAATATTTGTCTAAGGTATATATGTAAGAGTGTATTGCTGGATCATGGGATGTGTGCACGTTTAGTTTTGGTAGCTGATGCCAAACTTTTTCAAATGTGTTGCAGCAATATAGAGTTTCACAATTAATGTATGAGAGTTTCTTTTTTTTCCCTACAAATCAATAAGGAAATGAAAGACAAGCCAATTAAAAATGGACAAACCCTCAAGCATTTCACAAAAGATAATTTCCACATGACCAGTAAAAATGTGAAAAAGTCCTTAACCCCACCAGTCATGAGGGAAGTGCAAATTAAAATTACTCGTCTCTTATCTTTGTCTTGGGGTGTGTTATTTAATTTTTCTCTGACAGTTGATCCAACCCAAACTGAATTATGACCCGGGAAAGTGATTACCTCTGGGGAAGAGAAGGGTAATACCGCTGGGGAGAGGCATAGGGCATAGGTACAGGAAATACTCTCTTCTTTACCTGGCTGGAGAGTAAATGGCTGTTCATTTTAATGCTGTTCTTTAGACCATACAGGTATATTCTACACACTTTTTTGGTATAATGATTTATTTTGCAGTGAACAACTTTTTCTTAAAGGTAGCCAAAAGACTGCAATATCCTGACATTAATTTAAAAGTTTTAGCCTTGGTGGGCATATGGCCTAAGTCTCACAAGCAGTGAGAGTGAGAATTTAACCAACTGGTTTCTATTTAATAATTAGTCTACTTTTTTTTCCCTGTCTGAACCTTCATCTGAACTATCTTTCAAAGACTTCAGGTCTGTTCCTGGCATCACCCAACTTCTGTGTTTTAATTTCTATTACTCAGAACTTTTGGTAGCGGAAACAGAGCACCAACTCAGATTAATTTAGGCAGAAGGCTAGTTTTTTGGCTTGTTCCCCAACCATGGGAAGGGTGTGTAAAGAGCTGCACTCAAGGTAATGGAATGAAGGCTGGTACCCTCGGAATCTTCCCTTGCTACCACTTACCTATTTCTCTTGGTGTATTATGTTAATTATTCTCTGACAGTTGAGCCAACCCAGACTGAACTTTGGCTTGTGAAGTTTCCAGACCCATATCTACCAGCTTTACCGAGAGAGGGCTTTTCTCTTCCCTTTAATGCCCATTCAAATAAAGAACTTCAGTAAACTTGAATAACACACACACAGACAGACACACATACTCCTACTTGTGGCTAAGATCAGACTTTCATGATGAACTGTCTCCATTCATCTCATAAGTTGATAATAAAGAAGCAGCCATTCTCTAAAAGAACGAGTGTTGTTCTAAGAAGGCCGTCTAAGGAGGAGGAAGGGATACTGGCCAAATAGACATAGATGTCTACCTTAGAGATGATTTCTATTTTATTTTTGTGAGTATTTGTGCCCCACTCCCTGTGCTTTCAAATGCACCATACCCTTCCAAACCTAGAATTCCACCTTCCCCATTATGTTCTTGGTATTTCTCAAAGGCCGCGTGTGAAAAGGCAAAGTGCAAAAAATTGTCATTAGATTTTTAAGGCAAATTTGTCTTACAGGTTCTTTCTCAGGGCCAGGGAAAAATGAAGAACAAGCCTATTTTGATGCTGGGAGGGGTAGAAAGATAAGTTTCAGTGGTGCTGGCATGAACAGGATGTAGTGGGAAAACACCCTGATTTTGAAAATCAGAAAACTACACCTACCACTGACTAGCTGAATGACCTTGGGTGATTCCTTTCTCTTCTCTGAGCTTCATGTTCTTTCAAAATATGACACATTTGGTCATGGTGATGCCTAAGGGCAGGCCAGCATTGCTGCTCCATGAGAACGTAGGGTTGCTCTTAGGACCATCACAGGTAAAGTGACAGTATGTCTGCCATTTCTCCCTGTGAATAATCTTTGGGGAAACCCCAAGGTCCCTCCCAGGATGGGAGTGGATATTTCCTGGCAGAGCTAAGGGAACACAGCCTTTTATTCCTTGTAAAACCACAGACCCACCCTAGTGGCAGGTCACACTGGGGCTGTATAAAGCCATTCTCAGCCTCAGCTCTAAGCTAGGCACCTTCCTGACAACATGAAGTCCAGCAACCTCTTGGCCCTGACGGTGTTCCTTGTCCTTGGGACACTGGTGGTAGAAGCAGCTGTCGTTGGAGGTAAGTACAAAGGTGGCCTGGATGGGGCTGGGTTGAGCTGAGGAGAGGTGCCACGGGGCCTCCTGGGGTCTGACAGAGAGTACTTCTGGAGCTGGAGGCAAAGATGGAGCCTCAAGTGTTGATACCTATACAGAACATGTGACGAAGTGAGGAGCCTCAGGACTCTGGACCCTGATTGTGCATTCTGTCTGCCGCTGCTGTCTGTCCCATAAAAGCACTTGAGTGCTCAGCCCTCTGAGAGGAGGTTAAGAACCAACCAAACCAAATCAAACCCACTACTATCAAGTGTACCCCAACACATAGCAACCTATAGGACAGAGTAGAACTGCCCCATAGGGTTTCCAAGGCTATAAATCTTTACGGAAGCAGACTGCCTCAACTTGCTCCTGGTAGGTTCAAACCATCAACCTTTTGGTTAGCAGCCAAATGTTTTAATGACTGTCACCAGAGTGCCTAAGAACTAATAGGACCTCAGAAATCATGTAATTTGATACCTCTGTTTTACTAAGGAGGAATAAAGGAGGCAGGAAATGAGCACAAGCTATGGTTTTGTAGACCAGAAAAGAGAACAGCCCTCCAAGAGCCAGAGCAGTCTCAGGGTGTGGCTTGGGGGAAACTGTAAAGAGCAGGGGCTGGACCTAGGGGAAAGAATGTAGCTGAAGCAGGGGTGCTGGGTCTCAATGCTGGTATATCCCGTCTTTTCACAGTTCCAGGCAAAGGTAAACAACCCGTCAAAGGTCATGCCTTGGTCAAAGGACAAGATTTGGTTAAAGGACAAGTTCCAGTTAAAGGTCAAGATCCAGTCAGAGGGCAAGGTCTGGCCAAAGGTCCAGTCCTCTATAAGGCTGGCTCTTGCCCCAAGATTTTGATCCAGTGTGCCATGTTAAATCCCCCTGACCGCTGTTGGAGTGACGCTGGGTGCCCAGGGACCAAGAAGTGCTGTATGGGCTCTTGCGGAAGGGCCTGTTTGGACCCCCGGTGAGGTGAGGACTTGGTGGAGGAAAAGGGGCTCCTGAGAGCACAGAAGAGGATTGAGTGAAGGGGAATGATTTCAGACTAGTGGGGAGAGACGATATGGGGAGTTGATGGGCTTCAAAGACCATAACCGGGGTCCTGGGAAAGGAGAGGTAATGGAATTGACCCCCTTCTCACTTTGTTTGACCTGCTGAGTCACATCCCTGAATTTCTTCTCTCTCACCAGGTGAAGCCTGTCCTTGCTGCACTTGTGAAGTTCCCAGGGCTGCGGGCCGCCAGCTGATCCTTGGGCCCTAAAGCACTATCCCCTGCCCCATTGCCCATTGTTTCTTGTCATTTAGGTTGTCCAAACCTGGGACTAACTCTCTCATCCACTTTCCAATAAAAAGACCCCTTTCTGCTTCATTTGTTTCTGGCTCCTATGAATTGTGAGCTCATGGAGACATGGGGATGGGTGTAGAGTTGGGACTCCCTCTTCCTAATGGAGAGTGGAGAGGGCCCAATGAGACCCATTGTCTGTGTGTGAAGGAGGTCAGGGACAAGAACAAGAGGCTGATTCCTCGGTCTTAATGTTAGAAATCCAGGAGTCAACACGAGTACTGCAGTCTTCATTTCACCTGGAAAAGGAAAATCTGGAAATTCTGCCTTTGGCTTAGGAAGGACCAGGAAAAACAACAAAAACTTTGCATAAACTGCCCATAGGTCCTTTCTTTTCCAAGCTACCTGGCCATTGTTAGCCCTACCGGTATGACCAACCTATTCCTGTGGCCAAACCTAGAGCTGTCTTTTCTTTAATGTTTTCCTTGAATCTGTATACAGCCACTCCTCACTTACTGACCTGGTTAGGTTCAAAGACCAGGTGGTTGTAGAAATACCAGTTGTTGTTGTTGTTGTTATGTACCATTGAGTCGGACCCGACTCATAGTGACCCTTCCTTGGGTTTCCGAGGCAGTATCACTACGGAAGTAGATTGCCCCATCTTCCTTCCGAGGAGTGGCCGGTGGGTTTGAACCACCAGCCTTCTGGTTAGCAGTCAAGTGCCTTAGGCACTATGCTACCAGAGCTCCCAGAAATACCAGTAGTAGGGGAAAATGGAGGATGACTACATCAAATCACAACTGGAGAATGACAACTTCATTACATACCTGCCAAGCCACTGAGATATGCCAGCCAAGATGGCGTATAACCTTAACCATCATAGCATTACTTTTGCCTTGTACCTCAGCATTTGTTACTGCCAAATGTACCTCATTAATGCACAAAATAGTTGGTAGTAAATTTTTTTACTATTTTCATAAATGTGAAATGTCAGGTAATGAGATAGTTGATAAGTGAGGGGCAGGGATATTCCCAAGAAAACAGACAGAATGATATTATAGAAGCTGGGAGATCCTGCTCATTAAGAATTTCACGTTTGTGCCTGAGATTCCTCCCTTAGTACATCATTCCTCGAGGTTAAGCTTTCTGTTTTAAGATGTGTTTTAAGGAGACAAGACACACTAAGCCCTTAATACGTAGTGTGAGTGAGTGGGTGAATCATACTCTCTGGAGACATACAAGTTGGGGACAGGGCAGACTCAGGTGGTGAAGTTAAGGGAAGGCGTACGTCGGGCAAACTGGAATGATCTCATGGCTCTGCTCTTGGTCTACCTGCCTGCTTATATAAAGAAGCTCTCAGGGAAGTCCAGAGTCTCAGGAGGAAGAGCCAGTTTGGGTGGAGCGGAAGGAGCAACAACTTGGGAGTTCTGGCTCCAACTTCAGCTCCTCATTCATTGAGTGTCCCCAGACAAATCTCTTGCCCTCTCTGCGCCTCAGTTTTTCCATGTAACTCGTGGGAGTTGGATGTAATCACTCTGGAGGTCCAATCTGGCCCTGACATTCTGGGATCTGAAACAGTCAAGTCTTCTAACAAGGTTGAAGTCAACTCTTTTTTTGTATTGGGCTCCTGCTATGAGTGAAAGTGGAGAGCAAAGGCTTGGGATGGAAGAACAGGGAGTACTGTGCCTCTCCTTGCTTCTTCCAGAACAGTCCTTAATTCCCATTTTCATCTGAAGGCAGCTTTATTTTATTTTAAGAGTTTGTTTTACATTCAACGTTACGTGTACATTTCATTTCACTCCCATTTACCATGCTCAACCCTAATCCAGTCTCCTCCCTTCCCTGCCCAGTAGTTCTCCCCCCGTGCCCCTCATAGTTATGCACTCCTGTTTGTCCTGCATTTCCTCAGTGTGAATGTTGCCCCTCTGGTGCCCTGTGGTAGATTGCTCCAAGGGATGTATTTCCATAGAGTATGTGGGTATGTCACCCAAGATTGAGTGGTCTGTGTGTACATCTTGTTTCTTATGGGCTGGGCTGAGAGCCAGCCCCTGGGAGTGAGTTTTACACCAGACCCAGAATGTAACCCAGGACCACAGTATTGGGGGTCTCATCAGGCTCCATCCAACCAGTAATTCTGGTCATTGTTGAGGTTTTGAATTCTGTTCCACGTTTTTTCTCCCCCTCTATCCAGGATCTCTAGATTTGATCCCCTCCTGATTGGTTGGCATTGGTAGCTGGGCACCATCTAGTTCTTCTGGTCTCGAGGGCCGTCGTGTTCTAGGGCTGATTGCTTCCATATGCCTTTGTTGTTGTTGTTGTTGTTGTTTGTTTTGTTTTTTTGGCACTCTTCTTTGCTTCTGATGATAGGAGACCTTTAGCTGCATCTTAGATGGCCACTTGAAAGCTTTTAAGACCCCAGTCACTATTCACCAATGGAGGATGTGAAGCAAGACTTTTATGTATTTTGTTGTGCCAGTTGAGTCTGGTGTCCCCCAGTACTATGGTCATGAGATGGTAGATCTTTGGATCTCTCTCCTACAGTGTCTGGGTTTTTGTGAGGGATTACTGTGTGTCTGTCTTCTATTGTTTATGTAAGTATTGCAGATATTTTGTATCACTGGTATCTATGCAAGATTAGCCTGCGCTGAATCTATCTTTGGTCTAGAGTATATTCCTGTTTACTGACCCCCATCTGATCCTCTCAGGTGTTTATGTGTTTATCTGTAGCCTGGTGTTTGGTATTAATGGTAATGCAGTATTGTGGTTGGTATTAGCATGTGTTGTCTGTCTCCTGTGTGCACAATTCAGTGTCCTTCCTTTTCCTAATGTTATCATGGAGGTCACAAACTCTTTCCATACATTCCTCCCCTTACCCACGTCAGCATGTGGGGCCCAACTAGCCCAGAATTAATCCCCCCCTTCCCTCCCCACCCAGGTAACCTACAAAGTAAATTCCCTTTCACAAGCAAACCCTTCTTTGTCTTTTTACAGTAATGGGCTCATACAGTATTTGTCCTTCTGCGATTGACTTATTTCACTCAGCATAATATCCTCCAGTCTCATCCACATTGTGAGATGATTCACGTATCCCTCATTGTTCTTTAATATAGCATAGTATCCCATTGTGTGCATGTACCATAATTTGGTTATCTACTCATCTGTTGATGGGCATTTAGGTTGTTTCCATCTCTTTGCTGTAGTGAATTGTGCTGCAATGAATATAGGTGTACATATGAAGGCAGCTTTATTGATGTTCTTCCTGTTTGCTGTTGACCCCATCAATTCACCTTTTGGCCAAAGCTAAGCTTTGTTGGGTTTTGTCGTTGGGAACCATGAGTTCTGGGTCAATAAAACTACCACTTTTAAGTGGATTCCTGTCAGGAGTAACACCAAAAGTATGTAAGTGTCTGATGTGAGGTCTGGTGAGGAGTGGGGAGAGAAGGATTCCTCTGTCCTAGGATATGAGATAGTCTAGAAAATGTTTACTGGATGATGAACTCATGAGTGAAACTCACTTATACTCTGGATTCAGACTACATGCCCAAAAGGCTGGAGCTTCTAAGGTAAGCAAATATTAGGAGGTTGCATTCTGTTGGTTTCTCAAGATGTTTTTAAGTTTTGAAAAAGGAATTTAAAAATAACAACTACATGAAATGAAATACTACATTAAAACATTGTAATAAATCTACCTTAAATGATCGAATATTATAGTAAAGCAAACATCTGTGAATCCATCCACCAGGTTAGGAAATAGAACACTATTAGTATCTTAGAGGCCCCTTGTGTTCCCCACACTGAGCACATCCTGCTGCCACGAACTTGGTATTAATCATTCTGTTGTGTTCCTTTGTAGTTTTATCACATTGTGGTTGAAAATAATACATCGCTTAGATTTCTCTAAGCAATATATTTAGTTTTAATATTTTAAATAAAAATTGGACAATACTGTGTGTTTTCCTTCAATTTACTTATTTCATAAGGTTTTTTATATCCATCTCCCGTACACAGGTACAGCACTAGTTCCTTCTACTGTATATAAATATACCACAATTTGTCTGTTCTAGTGATGGGTGTTTGGGTTGTTTCCAGCTATTAATATTACAAGTAAAGTTGCTATGCATATTTTTTAACATGTTTTTAGTGAACATTATACATGTTTCTATTGGATATATACTTAGGAGTGGAAATGCTGGATCACAGAGTACGTGATGTTCAGCTTTAGAGCTGTTG